AGATCACTTGAGGTCAGGAGTTCGAGACCAGCCTGGCCAACATGGTGAAACCCCATCTCTACTAAAAATACAAAAATTAGCCAGGTGTGGTGGGGCACACCTGCAGTCCCAGCCACTTGGGAGGCTGAGGCAGGAGAATCACTTGAACCTGGGAGGCAGAGGCTGCAGTGATCTGAGATCATGCCACTGCACTCCAGCCTTGGCAACAGAACAAGATTCCATCTCAAAAAAAATAAAAAATAAAAAAAGTCTTTCTTATGAGTGATAGTGTTTTTTATAATAGCAATCTGACCAATATGTTGCCTTTGGACACTCATATCTATTCTGAAATAACACTACAAGGACTCAATATGTCCAAATCCAATGTACAGCATCGGAAGTTGAAATGTGCGTGTTTATGTGTTTTAAGTAGCATAATCTAAATCTGAAGTGCCTTGAAAAAGGTAGAGCTGAGTTTCCAAATGTCTGCTCCCTTGCTTTACACAGGTTTCTGCTCAAATGCCTCTCTTCACAGAGGTCTTCCTGACCACACTGTCTAAAAAGAAGTCTCGTGCCATTACTTCATGTCCTCTCACCCTGCTTTATTTTTCTTCCTAGTATTTACCACTACATGACATTATGTTGTATCTGTAACTTTTCACTGTCTCTCTTTCCACCAGAATGTAAGTTCCACAAGGACAGGAGTCTGAGTCTAGATCATCCTTAGGGTATTCCCAGGGCCTGAAGCAGTATCACCTGGCTCCTAGAAGGCACTCTATAGGATTGGTTAAATCAGTGAGTAAACAAACTGGGCCAGGCTTGGTGGCTCATGCCTGTAATCCCAGTACTTAGGGAGGCCAAGGTGGGTGGATGGCTTGAGCCCAGGAGTTCGAGACCAGCCTGGGCAACACGGGGAAACCCCATCTCTACTAAAAATACAAAAATTAGCTGGGTGTGGTGGTGTGCACTTGTAGTACCAGCTACTTGGGAGGCTGAAGCGGAAGAATTGCTTGAGCCCAGAAGGTTGCAGTGAGCTGAGATTGTGCCACTGCATTCCAGCCTGGGCGACAGACCCAGAACCTGTCTCAAAAAAACCCCAAAACCAAAAAAAAAAACCAACTATTGATCTTATTACAGGAACACCTAGAAGCTGATGCAAATATTTCTGAAGCTCATTTTCCTGAATAAATCCTACTTGACATAGAAATGCATTTTGGGACATAATGCTTTTCTCTATATTACCATACCTCATTAGAAAAAGGATTTTAAAATCCCAGCACTTTGGGAGGCCAAGGCAGGAGGATCACATTCCAGGAGAGATCGAGACCATCCTGGCCAACTTGGTGAAACCCCGTCTCTACTAAAAAATACAAAAATTAGCTGGGTGTGGTGGCACATGCCTGTAGTCCCAGCTACTTGGGAGGCTGAGGCAGGAGAATCGCTTGAACCTGGGAGGCGGAGGTTGCAGTGAGCCGAGATCGCGCCACTTCACTCCAGCCTGGCGACAGAGCAAGACTCCGTCTCAACAACAACAAAAGCATTTTAAGGCAGCTGCTAATGAGATTTACTAGTTTCCAAATTAGGGTTTAAGATACTCCTGCATTGAGAAAACTATTGAGTGGTTTATAATATACCAAGTTCGTCATGAGCCAACCTGGGATCCAGTACATTTATCAAAAAATAATAGTATAAAAAATGAAGCAATAAGAAATTACAGAACATCCCTCTAGCAAGATTAGGGAAAATAAATTTGTTTAAAAAAATTACAGAACAGAGGTTTTCATAAAAAAAGATTTCCTGTACTTCCTTAACTTTATCAGGCTTTGAAAAACCCAAGACACTAACAAGATTGTTTTAGGACAGGCATGGGTGGCTCACACCTGTAATTCCAGCATTTTGGGAGGCTGAGGTAGGAGGATCCTTTGAGCCCAGGAGTTCAAGACCAGCCTGAGCAACATACTGAGACCCTGTCTCTCAATAAATAAATAGCAATAATAATGTATGTTAAAAAAAAAAAAAAAAAAAAGGTAAGATTGTTTTAGATACTTGAGATTAATAATTTTTTTTTGAGACAGTCTCACTTTGTTTCCCAGGCTGGAATGCAGTGGCGTGAACATGGCTCACTGTAGCCTTGACTTCCTGGGCTCAAGCAGTCTTCCTGCCTAAGCCCCCAAGTACCTGGAACTATAGGTGCGCACTGCCTTGCTTGGCTATTTTTTGTATTTTTTGTAGAGATGGGGTTTTGCCATGTTGGCCAGGTTGGTC